TGTCCACATCCCTCTTGAAGTGCGGCGCCCAGAACTGGACGCAGTACTCCAGCTGCGGCCTGACCAGTGCCGCATAGAGGGGGAGGATCACCTCCTTGGACCTGCTTGAGATGCATCTGTGGATGCATGACAAGGTGCGGTTGGCCTTCCTGACTGCATCCCCACACTGCCGGCCCATGTTCATTTTTACATCAATGATGACTCCAGGATCGTTTTCTGCCTCTGCATTGACGGGAAGGGAGTTACCCAGCCTCTAGGTCTGCTGCTGGTTCTTCCTCCCCAGGTGCATCACCTTGCACTTGTCAGTGTTGAAACCCATCCTGTTCTCATCCGCCCACCCCTGTAACCTGGCTAGGTTCAATTGCAGCCTATTCCTCCCTTCTAGCGTGCTCACATCCCCCCACATCTTAGTGTCATCACCCAATTTGAACAGGGTGCTATTTACCCCCTTGTCCAAGTCACTGATGAAGATGTTGAACAGTGCGGGCCTGAGGACCAAGCCCTGGGGGACCCCATTGCCCACATCCCTCCAGGTCAAAAATGACCCGTCGAAGTAATAGCCCTTGGACCGGAGTGGGGTTAATAATTGCCAGTTGTAGCCACTGCTGGAAGAGTGAACAAAGGGTTAACTTTCACTTAAAGATGACATGGAGTAAGGGCCCCTGCTTGAATGCTTAGCGCGAGTTGGGAGCAGGGGGGCTCAGTTCTGAGGCCCTCTGGAGCTCCTGTGTGCCACTCTGGTGGTACCTACAGACTGTCAGGCCACCCTAGGCAGCTGCCTGGTCCCTGATGTTGGGACCTCCGTGGCTGGGGTAGATTCAAGGTAACCTGCCTATGTCACCTCTGTCCCCTCAGGTCTGAAGCACAGGGAGCTGGGAGGGGAACGGGAGGTGCGGCTGGGCCATGCTGTGCCCCAGCAAAGCCTGAATGATGGATGGCCTCTTCTGAATGGACAGCCCTAAGACTGGGTCCAGCAGAAGGCTGAGCCAAAAGCGAACTGCAGCTGAATCCCAGTGGTGACGAGGGGCGCTGGAGTGAAATTCAGCTCTCCGGGCCGAGGGACCACTTCCTTTCTGTCAGAATCCCCATCCCTAGGACTACCAAGTCTCTCTGCCACTGGGCTCAGCCCTGGGCCAGCTCCAGCACTGCCAGTGAGATTTGTTAGGCATGTTATTAAATCTTATTTGCTGAGGAGTGTTACCAGGGCTTGATCAGGCGACCAGTTCCACACTGGCATTTGCCCAGGAAAAAGTGAAAACCACAGAGCTAGCTAATTTTTACTGTGCCTCTCACAGCCTCCCCCAAAGTGGCCAAAGCAGCAGGCTCTGGGACCTCAACACGGGGCTTTGAACTGGGGGAGTGGGTTTCCTGTGGCATGTGTACCTGCTGGTTGGTTTCCCTGAGCATACCCAGTTTCCTGCAGCATCTGAAATATGCAGGGCTTGGGTTTTAGGAGTGGGTGTGTAAGCCCTCAGTGTCTCCTAGTTCTCCGTGCCCCAACCAGTGTCTCATGAGTGCCAGTCCACCTGGACATCCAGGCTTGTCTCTCTGTGTTGGCTGTTACCATTCACATTGACATCCTTTTGCCAGTCCAAATCACAGCTCTGCCTCTTGGCTGAGAGCACAGAGAGGAGCATTTGTAGTCTTGTGTGAAGGGGCAGAAAATTCCCTGCCAGCTCAGCCAAAATCAAAAGCTTTGATTTTCCCTCCAAAACAGGGTTCTGGCCCATTGAGTTGTGCTTGGAAGATACGCAGCCACATGGCGGGACTAAGAATCGGGAAGAGGGATCTCGGCTTGTCTCAGATCATGTCCTCACCACGCTGCTCCAGAGCAATGGGTGTTGTTAACAGCCTGAGCTCATTCAGGATCCCACATGGCACTGGGATAGCTGGGGGTCTAGTACTGGGCTAGAGAAATATTTTAAGCTTTAAATAGAACAGTCCCAGTCTGGTGCATCCACCTAGAGAGGTTCCTTCTTTATGCTGGAGCTCAGGAGTCCCAGAAAGTCTGTCTGAACTTGATCCAGTTCCCGTTGACGTGCTACCCCAAGGAAAGCATAACCCTGGAGATGGTGGGGACCATATTACTTGGTATTTACCAGGTCTGATCTTTCATCCCCTCCCTGGTGACACCCACTGGGTCCATTGCTACCCAATTGGGTTGACCCTAAAATTGCTAGCATAGGAAAGGAAAAAATCATTCCCTGCTTTCAGCCCCATGCCACCTTCTTCCACTACAGAAAGGCAAAGACTCCAGGAGTATACATGTGCTCCAGGAGTGGGGGAAGGTGGGCACTTTAATTAGAGTGGCTCTGAGAGCTGCTCTAATTAAATCACCCAGAGTATCTCGTGTGTCAGCGTCCCTGTGCTGAAAAATAGCAGTCGGGGCGCTTTAACTAAAGCTTGTCAAATGAGCTTTAGTTAAAGGTCCCCCACCCCCATTTTTCAATGTGGAGGCACTAATACATATGATGCTGGAGTCTGCTGGAGTGCAGTAATTACCAAGCTCCAGCAGACTTGATTAATTGAGTCTGCTCCAATGTGCTGTAATTGCATCACGTTGGAGCAGCCTTGCTGCATGTATGTAAGTGCCCTGACAGTCTATACCCACCCTTTGCTTCTCTCCCCAGCACTAAAATGTAAGACAGGACCTCTGGACATCGTGTTTGTGATTGACAGCTCCCGGAGTGTGCGCCCCTTTGAGTTTGAGACTATGCGGAGGTTCATGATTGACATCATCCACAACCTGGATGTGGGGCTCAATGCCACGCGAGTGGGGGTGATCCAGTACTCCAGCCAGGTCCAGAATGTCTTCTCCCTCAAGACTTACTTCAAGCGGGCTGACATGGAGAAAGCCATCAACAGCATTGTGCCACTATCCCAAGGTACCATGACAGGGCTGGCCATCCAGTATGCCATGAACGTGGCCTTCACCACCCAGGAGGGGGCACGTGAGCTTCACAAGAAGATACCCCGGGTGGCCGTCATTGTGACAGATGGGCGGCCCCAGGATCGTGTGACAGAGGTGGCAGCCCAGGCACGGGATGCTGGCATTGAGATCTATGCCGTGGGTGTCCAGCGGGCAGACATGAACTCCCTGAGGGCCATGGCTTCCCACCCACTGGAGCAGCACGTCTTCCTGGTGGAGTCTTTCGATCTCATCCAGCAGTTTGGCAAGCAGTTCCAGGACAAGCTGTGTGGTGAGTGAGGAGACAGAACTGCCCCAGGTCTGTCGTGGGGCCGGAAGGGGCCAGGATTTACAAGGAAGGTGTGGAGGGGTCGGGTGGATGAAGGACGAGCTGTGGAGGTCATGGAAGGGAGTGAGTGAGGCCTTTCCCCTTTGGAGTTCAAACCTAGCCCCATCTTACTAAATCACAATCCAATTCGTGGCAGCTGTTTTTTTGGATTCTAGAGAAACTCACTTGTGGAATAGCAAAATGTGCTGTACGGTGAGGACTAAAGGACTGAGTGTGGGGTCCCAGGCAACTGGGATCCAGGAGGTGCTGTAGAAACTGAGCCGAGGTGCATGGGTAATTCAGTGATTTAGGGTCAAGACAGGGAAACGTCAGCTGATCTGTGTGGGGGAAGTTCTCACAGTATCTGTCTGCACCTTGCCTGTTTCTACAAAGATACAAGGGTCGGAGTGAAAATCTAATGAATGAATTGACTTTGGTGGAACCCATGGATTTTAGTGGGCTTTGAATCAGGCACCAAGTGAGCCAAACCAATCCATGGCTAAGTTAACTTCTGTTCTATAACAACTGATGTGGGGAGGCAACATTTGCCAAGCGGGGTGATGCAGATGCTTCCAAGAGCTCCAGAATGGTACTGAAGCACGGTATGGATTACTTTCATAGATGTAGACACTAGGGCTGGAAGGGACCTCAAAAGATCGAGTCCAGCTGTGGTGGGCTCTGGGAAGAGACAACCTGTATAGTAGAAGCCTTGATATTTTCCCTTTCAATGAAGTCTTTTTTGTCACCCTTCCCTGTTGATTAAAAGTAATCTTAAAGAAAGTGTCCAAACAATATGTTAGCTACCACGTTCCTTGCCTGCAACTGAGGGTGTATACATGCTGCTCCAGCAAGTATTTCTGAGCTGTGCTCACGGGGGGCAGGGGAAAACAGGCCCCAAAGCGGTGATAACAGGAATGCCAGCCAGCAGAAGTGCAGAGCTGGTGCCCTCCACAGGGAGCAGGAGTCGTCAGAGATCCCCGCTGCGGGGTTTGGAGTCTTACTTGTCCCAGGTGATTCTGGGCAGCAGGCTTCCTGCCCTGGGGCATGAGCAGTGCTGTGACTCACTGCACATTTCCCACATGCAACTGTAGATCTGTATCTAATGGAAACTTGGGATGAGACGGCTTGTTTGCACTTGTCTGGCTGGTCTTGGCCAGAAGAGGGGAGTTCGTAATCTTAAAGCCTGGAGCCTATGTGCAGCTTCTGTGCTGACAGATGAGATCAGATCTTGGGGACTTGGCCAGACAGCCCAGGGTGCCCCCAGTGCTTGGTTGCCACTGCCCCCTTCTTCCTGCTCCTTCTTTCTTTAGATTCTTATTTTTCCATCCCTCTTCCCTCATCTTTCATCTCCTTGTTCATTCCCTTCTCATCAGTTCCCCTTTGCAGCTCCCCCCTCTTCTCTCAGCACTCATATTCCCTCCAGCCTTTGAGGCTTCATGCTTCTTCTAGACTGGAGGGTTCTGTTTTATGAGGGAACAAAAGGAAACATCCAGGTTTTCTTTATGGGAAGCCTGAGGCCCTTCTGAGCTTCTGATTCCAGACCTCTTTTTGAAGTCCCATTTCTAGCAGCTCCCAGCTTTAGTATTCATTTCAGCCAAACCTGAGGCCTTGTCCATGTGCACACATGAGCTAGTTTGATTAAACTGTGTGGGTACTTTTATTTTGGTTGAAGTGCTGAAACCTTGACCTACTTGACATAAGCTGAAAATAAACACTTAGCTTTTGGTGATTTTCATCAGTTGATTTAATAGCCCTATAAATAAGTCCATCCTCACTATCCCCATTGTGCAGATGGGAAAACTGAGGCAGAGAATGATAACCAGCTCCTGCAGAGATGGGGTCATGTCAGAACCTGGGTAGGTTAGGTTTCCTCATACATGCTGTAGCCAGTGAATCCAGCATGACCAGCCATGTCTTTCAGGTGTGGATATGTGCACAGAGCTGGATCACGGCTGCCAACACACTTGTGTCAGCGTTCCAGGCTCCTTTTACTGTGGATGTAACCCAGGATACAAGCTCAACGCTGATGGAAAGACATGTTCCGGTAAGAGCTTTTCATTTCTCTCTAACACGCTTTCACCAAGTATGTACATTTTAAAACAGTTTACAAGTATCATCCCCATTATACAGACAGGGAAAGTGAGGCCCTGAGCAGTGAAGTGACTTGCTGAGCAGGCCCACAGCATGGTCAGAACTGGAACTGAGGTCTTCTCAATCCTAGTCTGGTTTTCTTTCTCACTAGGCCCCTCTGTCTCCAGCTGCACTTGCTAGTTCGGTGGTGGAGATAATTACTAGAGGGAATTAGTTGTTGGCATGATGTCTAGGCCCTGAACTTTGAAAATGGTGTGTAAATGCACAGCTCAGCAGTGGGCATCAGGACCCTCTGCCCCATGCTAGTGTGTGGGGGAGGTAGTGTTAGGACTATCTGGAGCTGAACAGTCTCTCTGCTCTTGTCTGTGGGTTGGTAAGACCTGCCTCTTCCTCCTTATGTTAGACGCATCCTGTGCATGCTGGGATCTGAGCCTGTCTTTTCCCTGAGTCCTGACCCCTGTGTGTGGGAGCACGAGGAAGCAAGATGGTAAAGGGGTGGGTGACCAAGTCTTTTCTTTTCTTCTGCAGCCATTGATGCCTGTGCTGATGGGAAGCATGGCTGTGAGCACCAGTGTGTCAGTGCGCGTGGGTCTTACACCTGCCGCTGCCGGTTGGGTTACTCCCTCAATGATGATAAAAAAACCTGTACTGGTAAGTAACTGCCCCCTCTCTCTGCTCCTTCCTCCTTTTTCTCCTCATTTTCCATCCTATTTCCCTCATCTTTCATCACCCCACACTTTCCCTCTCTCCTCATCATCATTTCCCCTTTGCAGGTCCCCTCTCTACCCTCAGCACCCATGTTCCCTCCTGCCATTGAGACTGTGTTTCTTCCTGACCAGAGGGTTCTAGTCCCATATCCCTCTTCAAGCTAGAAGATAGTGGAGAAGTGTTGGAGATAGTTTGGAAACATAAACACACTTTTTTTGGCCAGTGTTTGTCCTTTTTTGGTGATCTCTACTTACTTCTAGCAGTCTGAGTCCCAAAGGAGAACTTCAGCTTACAGTGGTAGCCTGTGAATGCTTTATCTAGACTAAGATCAAGATGCACACAGTCAGCCACTGGCAGGAGCTCTGTTGCCCAGGTGTGTCATCAATAGACCCTATTTGCTTTCTTGAAGCAGGGCCTTAGCATAGAGACACCTGTGTGAGTAGGAACCCCATATTTCCAGGGGGTCTGAAGACACGTGGTAGTGAAAGCATGATGTAAAATCACAGCATCCTGCCTCCAGGACAGACAGTGGTCAACTTAGCCTTTGAGATCTCTGCAAGGGTTGAGATGCAAAGCAGATGTCCCCATGTGTCTACTTCTCTTGCCAGCGATTAATTACTGCAACTTTGGGAACCACAGCTGCCAGCACGAGTGCGTGAGCCTTGTGAATGGGTACTATTGCCGCTGCAATGATGGCTTCACTCTGCAGGCTGATGGCAGATCATGTCAGGGTAAGCGCTGCATGAGCATCGCTTCTGCAGAGAATGGCTGTAATGACCAAGAGCATAACTGGGCCACAGTATAGGTAACTTGCTGTGGTTAGAACCCAAGCATCTGTCAGCAGAATGCTGTCCTTTTGATAGATGTGCTCACCTTGTACATCAGTAAGTAACCCAGGATAGTCTTCCAGGGCACCAGCATCCCGGAGCTTGGGGAGTGCAGCTGGGATTGGAAAGCACATGCCCTAGCATCACACCTGGAAGGTTGGGGTGTCACACATAGCTATAATGCATTCTTTCCAGCCCTGAAAAGAATGAATCGCTTAAGCTACAAAATACAGATCCTGATTTTGAACCTGCCCTGAAGTCTGGACATGAAATTTTTCTGGACTTGAACCCATCACTGCTTTCCATTGAGATAAATGCATGCTGCCCAGGTCCTGTGAAGGGATACATTGCATGTATAGCATGATTGCTTACTCAGCTCCCTGTTTGGCAAGCATGGGTATATCTGACATAGACCCACAGAGCTCCTACCTTTAAGAGGGGAGCTCACTGCATGGTTATAACTTATGTAAGAAGATTTGTGTTTTGATTTGTGTTTTAGCTACTGACCTTTGCAATGGAGTAGATCACGGCTGTGAGTTTAAGTGTGTCAGTACATCAGGCTCTTACCACTGCGTTTGCCCAGAGGGACAGCAGCTCCAAACTGATGGGAAGACATGTAACAGTGAGTATCTGGGGATGGGGCCTGCAGACAGGTTCCTTACTAAAAGGGGCTTCATCCCATAGCAGCTGGCACCCACATTCAAGGAGTGTGCTCAGAGGATATTAACACTGGCCCCTGGGGGGAGAGGAGAGAGCCCTGTTGCGTGTGGTAGAGATGAGTCTGACTAACAGAGGAGAGACAATAACAGGCTCTAAATGGAAGGGACAGGGCAGGCTCTCATCCTTTTCTGACAGAGCAGGCAGCAACACAGGATATTTGGGTATGATTTACAAAGGGAGTTATTGGGGGTGGGGGGGTGTCAGGATTTGATGGGAGTAGATATTTGATGGGGATATTTAGCAAAATTTTTCCCAATTATATTTTGCTCTGCTTTGCTGCACCTGTTGCCTTGATGGCTCAGGAGAGAATCTGTGGGGAAGCACCAGGAATCCCAGCTCCCTTTCATTCAACTCCATCCCCTGGCATTTCTTCCCTCTGGGGTCTCCCTGGGCAGGCCAGGCTGGCACCCTCTGACCTTTTGCCTTCATGTCTGCTTGCAGAGTGCAAGGCAGGGCACATTGACCTAGTGCTGGTGATTGATGGCTCTAAGAGCGTCCGGCCCCAGAACTTTGAGCTGGTGAAGCAGTTTGTGAACCAGATTGTAGATTTCCTGGATGTGTCACCACATGGCACACGTGTGGGACTGGTCCAGTACTCCAGCCGTGTGCGCACCGAGTTCCCACTCAACAAACACAAGACAGCAAATGATGTCAAGGCGGCTGTGATGAAGGTGGAGTACATGGAGAAGGGCACCATGACTGGCTTGGCTCTCAAGCACATGATTGAGCACAGCTTTTCTGAGGCAGAAGGTGCCAGGCCACTGTCCCAGAACATACCCAGAATTGGGCTGGTCTTCACTGATGGACGTTCCCAGGATGATATCTCTGAGTGGGCCAGGAAGGCAAAGGAATCGGGTGAGGAGCAAAGGGGGTGAGGAATCTCAAAGGGTTTCTAACTCCTCGGGTGTTGTTGGGATGGTCCCGGCAGGGGATGCACTTTAGGAACCTGACATCGCAGGCCAATTTTGCACAACCTCTCAGGGTGCCCAAAGGTGGTGGTTTCTGGGTGTAGATCATGGTGTCTGGCATACTGAAGCTCCCATTTCCCTGAGTGAGCATGGCTTGCTGGTACTCATCACGTTTATATACAGACCAGCTTACAACTGAAGCAGGCTGAATGATGCCTCTTGCTCTGTGGTGCAATAATGAATAGCCCATACCAACAGTTGTGATTTCCTTGCAAGGCTCCACCTTAACTGGCTGGCCAGACAACTTTGGGCTATAGTATCCTACTGAGCTTGCTGGGCTGGTCTCCCCAGGTTCGTGCCCACAGGCCATGTCCAGGCAGTAAGGAATTGTCTTTTGCTGTGTTGTGTAGGAATCGTCATGTTTGCAGTTGGGGTTGGAAAAGCTGTGGAAGAGGAGCTGAGGGAAATCGCCTCCGAGCCCGTGGAGCAGCACTTTTCATACTCTGCTGATTTCAGCACCATGACCCATATCGTTGACAACCTCAAACTTAACATCTGCCCTGGTAGGTGGGGGCAGAGTCTGCAAAGTAACCTCACCCATGATGGGACTGGTGTCGTTCAATAATACCACTGTGGTAGCACCAATTGGAGTTGGGTTTCTCTTGCACTGTATAAATACAGATGAGGATATAACCACAAACAGCTTTCAAGTTTTTCTGGGACAGTTATGGTACCCATTGCCCTCCCATTCACATTCTGTAGCCTACTTCTGTTCACAGTCAGTGTGGGCTACAGTACAGTGTTATTCCATTTTGGAAAGCAGAGGCAGGGAGAGACTAAGTTATTCACCCAAAGCCACATGAGAAATCTGTGGTAGAACAGGAAGCTGAACACCAGCCTCATGACTCACAGGCTAGTGCCCTAATGACTGGGCCATTTTCCCTCTACACTTAAGGTGACAACTGATGCAAAGCATGTGGAGGAGAGGCAGCCAGTGCATGTATTGTTTATACACACACGCATGCATTAGCCTTATTGTTAAGAATTGGGCACCCCATATCTCCTTCAAGCCTAGGTTGAGTTCTCCCTGGCATTGTGACAGACCTAGGTCTTGAGGGAGGATTTGAGAGAGCAGAATGGGTGCCACTGGTGACAATTCTATGTATAGGGGGCAGATGTGAGCAGCTGGCATCACTGATGTAGTATTGAGGAGAGTGGGGGTGCATGGTAAGAATGGAAAAGCAGAGGGGGACTGGATTTATTTTGGCAGCACTGATGTGGCTGTTGCCACAGAATCTCCAGTCATACATAGAATTAAGGTTATCTTCTTTTCTGCCACAATTCCTCTCTAGCCAGTGCAGGTAACACACAGTTCCTCCTCTCTATCTAATTAGGTTAAAAACAAACAGCTTGGTTTATAGAGACCCTACCCAAGCTGCAGAGAAGATGACAGATACTTGGGGTAGATGGCTGCATTAAACTAACAGTAGAATCTGGCATCCCTCTTTGCTGCGAAGTTTTGTAACCAGAAATTCAAAGGCAAGTTAATTAGCAACAGAGTAATGAGTCTCATGGCCTAGGCAGTTTTCATTCACTCTATTGTGGATGCTCTGCCTGGAGGCTTGTTTGGCAAATATAAGGAGCCTGAAAAAGGAAGTGTTTTGTCCCAGACTGTTTGCCCATGGGCTGTGTTCCCAGAGATAAGCTTGGTGGGCCTTTCTCAGGTAAGCAGAGCTACTGCTTTATGAAAATTACCTAGAATTTAGAACCACTGGGATCAAGCTTACTGGAAAGAGACCTGGGAGATAAAATAAGAGATAAAATAGAGCTCTGCAGGGCTCTTTAAAAGAATTAACAACAGCATCAGACCCAAATGGATAGACCACCTCACTGCATTAGCACAAACCCATTAGGCTCCAATCCTTCCTCTCAGTGAGCTAGCACAGCCCCCCAGAATGAGCGTGGGAAGTGTCCAAGGAGAAAGAGAGAGAGCAATGTCCCTGCAGTGTTTTGTGTCTTGTTCTCAGAGCCTCCTGCAAACCTGAGGACAGAGGCAGTCTGCATAGAGGATAAAATATGGGCTGATTGTCAGGACTTTTGTTCCTACTACTCTGTCTCTCCTATTCCTGACTCTTTCACCAAGTGGCTGTGTACCACTGGCCAAATCACCTTCATCCCTGTCACTGGGAGAGGGCCTTACTTCTCTTGGGAGGCCTGTATGGTCTCTGTGTAAAGCACATTCAGAGAGCACAAAGGTGGGCAGCAGAGCACTGATGACAATTCACCTGTTTTTTTTCAGAGGAGGGCAAAGGAGAGACTGAAATCCGGAGTCCATGCGAGTGCGAGGCCCTTGTGCAGTTCCAGTCAAACACCGTGGCCATCCTGGAGAGCCTGACAGAGAAACATATCCTTTTTGGGTAGCCAGCATGGGCCATGGCTGAATGGCAGCCACACAGGAACCAGATCAAGTCTGTTTTGTTCCAAGCCTTTAGGGCCAACTTCGACCCTGATTCTCCCTCTGGTCACCCGGTCGATGAGTGTCTGTGGGCTGTTCTCTTTGTCAGGGCAGAATCTGGCCCCTGCCACTTGTTATGTCGACTAGACAGTGACAGCTTGATTCCCAATTCAACTGGGCTTCCTGTTACCCTTCAGAAAAAGCAATGGGCTTCAAGCACACCTTAGCATGTGCAGCAACAAACGTGCCATCTATGCTAACAGGTGGCCCTATCTGTGTCAGTGGTAATACCAGAGCTGGATCCAGCCTCCATCTGTGGGAGGAAGAAGGAGCCACAGCACAGGGACCCTTGCGGTTTGGGGAAGAGTGAAGGGGATCTTTGAGGCCCTTAGGCCCCTAGAAGAAGGGGAAGAACAGACTAAAGTGGGGAGGGGAGGGCAGCGGCACATCTGATAGTCATTCTGACCAAGTATAAATAGAAACCTACTATGCCTGTGTCAGGATGAGCACCTCCTAGAAAGGAAGTGGTTCCAGCAAGCCCTAGGAAGGATATTCTTTCTATGGAGCCCATGAAATATTTAGTTCATCCTTTTTCAGTGTTTTGTTGGGCTGACACCAACATCACCTGAAGGCCATCCCTCGATCCTCCCTCAGTGTTGGGCCCCACTGCTTCTTTACTGCCAAGTTTCCTTAGTGTGACTACTTGCTCAGATGACAGCCAGACTCGAAGATTTGGAAAACCAGATTGCCAAAAAGAAGTGATCTCTTCACATGGCCAGGAAGCACTCAAGCTTGGGGTACAGAAACATACTGTAGCTACACATCATTCTTATTTCTAGGTTATTGTAAAGGGCCATTGTTTGTTCTTATGTCACAAAATCCTGAGAGGGACTCAGAGATCTAAAAGAAAAAAACAAAAAAACCCTGTTCCAAAAGTAAGTGGAATCAACCTTCAATGCTGGTCCATTCCTCTGGGACGAGGCGCAGCAAGCGTGGCTGGCTTGGACATTCAGAGAGGAAACAGGCAACAAGTTGCATGGCATCAGGGATGAATCGATAGCAGCTGGCCTCTGGCTTCTTCACGGAGGACCAGATCCGAGGGTTTCCATTAGGCAGCAGAAATGCTTTGCAAAGGCAGCAGTTCCATCCTGGAGGTTTCCTGCAGCTCAGCTCTCACTTCAAACAGTTCTTAGACTTGGTGTTGATGGGGAAGGGAGTTTCCAATGTTCCCACTCTGTGTGGGACGTGCTGTTTGCTGCCCTGCTCATCCTCATTGGAAAGTGAGAGCTCCTTCAGCAACCTCTTTGTCTCTAAAGCTTTTTGCTTGCATTGCACTTGAATTGAATATTTGATTCCATTAAAGGGGAGAGAACTCCAAATAGAAACCAGACAAAACAGATGATCAAATGCAGCTGGAATATTCCTGATTGAATCTCCTTTTCACCCATGATTTTGGCAGATTGTTGCAGAATTTATCATCTTGTTTTCTATCCAATATAAATATATATATAGAAAAATATATCTTTGTGTATATATCTTTAATCCTGAAAGCAAGGTAGTAATATTTTTCAACACCTTTATATATATATATATATATATATATATATATATATATATATATATATATATATATATATATATATATATATATATATATATATATATATATATATATATATATATATATATATATATATATATATATATATATATATATATATATATATATATATATATATATATATATATATATATATATATATATATATATATACACACACACACACACACACACACACTTTTCTACCCTAACAGTAACCCCCCTGAAGGTTTCTATGGCACTTTTTGGCTCTTTTCACTGGGAAAATAGTTAATTTAGGCAGGCATCTATGTATCAGTTCATACGACTTTGATCTCAGCGACTGGGCTGTCACCACTCTGGTGTGAGAGAGAAAGAGAGAGAACTGGCCAGGGTAGTGTCTTTGCTGTAAGAAATCCATGTCATATGTTGTAATGCATTGCACATGTAGTATGGTAACACAGTCTGATAGGAAGTGAGTGTTAAAGGCATCTCAGACTTTCACCAGAATGGCAGATCCGGACCATCAAGGGCCTGTCTTCTGTGTCATAGGAGTCAGCCAGTGTTAATAAGCTAAATCAGTGGAGCTATGCACATTTATACCAGTTGGGGGTCTGACCCATCATCTCTAAGTCTGGGCCTCATGAATAAAAACTGGGGTGGAGCTTCAGAAGCAGCCCCTCTGGAAGAGTCGTAACGCAAGATTTGTGCAGGGAGGTGCCACGACTATGACCACATTGAAGCGACTTTTCCTTATTATATAGTCCCATAGCAGCCTGCAGGGAACAGAATTTGTGATCTGGTCAGGCTTTGCTGATAGCTGGGGATCAGCTTGCTAGGGGTCTTACAAGGAGGGAGTCAGAGATGAGGTAGGTGAAGGGAAAACCTGCTAATCCTCAGTTGCTGTCCTAGTGCTATGTAAGCCACCATCCTGTGTGATAAGGGGACTTGCTTGGGTGTGGCCTCTAATTCCAACCCTCAGCCCCATCCCACTCTCTCAGTACAGTGCTTTGAATCCTTTGTGAGGGGCCTCCTGTTACTTCTGTCCTGAGACCCTTTTTCTCCTACTTTTTTGGAGCATGTTCTTCCTCCTCAAATAGCAGAGGAGCTGGGTGAGGGGGAGAGTTCAAGGGCTCTGTGTGAACGTGAACCATGTTCCTTCCAGTTATGAACATTATCTAAATGTCCCTCATGTACCAAAGCTCTCCTGGTCCTGTCACGCCTGTGATGTCATCTGTGAATGCAAACTAGTGTAGCAGAGCCTCCTCCTTGATGGACCTGAATCTATTACAAAGGCTCCTGTTACCCGGCACTGAATCCCAGCAATAAAGAGACACTTTCCAGCCATCCCTTGCCTACGAATGTTGATTTATTGTAATGATCGTTGCTTTGTTCCAAGTTGAGGACATTTGTAGCCTGGTACTAAAACCACTAGTGGGATTCAGACTAGACTTCATGTGCACATCTCAGTGTAAGCAGAGCATGTAAACAGCTTTTAACAACTTTCTCCCCAGGTTTGAACTCTCATCCTGATATGCAAACAGCTCTTGAGTCCATGCAAAAGAGCCCCATTGTGCTATCATCACCCTTCTGTGTCACTAAATTATCAGGCCTAGGGATGTTCATGACAGTCCTTTACTATACATTTCCAGGGGAGGGAGTGCACATTTTGCCAGATAGACAGATTGGAGCACTCCCTTCCTCCAGATGCACCAAGCTTTCCTGATACTACCCTGCTTCTTGCCCAGTCTTGCAGGGACTCCCTCTAGCATGATCCCTACAGAAGTGGGACAGGATTGAACTTATATTTACGGTAACTCTCTTTATGAACAAGGCTCAGAAGTTCTGCCCAGCAGTCAGGAGATACTTGTCCAGCTCCAGCTCCTTTGTAGTCCTCCTGCTGAGGTGCTTTGGTTTTCCTTATTTTTGTCTCATGATCTTAGTCCTAACGGGCAGGGGTATTGGTTGTCCTCCATCCCTCAGTGCCTCCTTACTTCACCTCTGTCCACAGCAGCTACACATGTGCTGGACAAGCAGGGAAAGGATAAATGAAATCGTGATACCCAGCTCATTCTCCATGGACCTTCTGCTGCCTTGCCAGTTTGGAAGCCACTGGTATTGGCATGTACCAATCTGTATATGCAGAGAAGAAAGCTGAGGAAAACGAAGTAACAAAGAGCAGCTCTCCCATGGATCCCAGCAGGGAAAGCTGACAGTGACCACCCGAGGCCGTGAATAGTGCTGAGAGGTGTCTCTTTGGGATCCTTCATTTTAGGAACACAAAGGACTTTGCAAATCTTAGTTGTAAAGTTGCTCGCAACGAGCTTGGCCAAATTCATTCTTATTACCTCCCTCCAGTAGGCCAACAGCATTATTCCCATTGAACAGATGGAGGAAGGGAAGTACAGAAAGAGGAAATGATTCCTTCCTACTCCATAGTAAGTCATGGGTGGGATTGGGAACAGAACTGCAACCTGCTTTAACACTGCACTGATCTCCTCTTGTTTTCTGGGTCTGATGGGGTTTGCTACCTATTTAGAGAAGTATGACTGCTACTGTTGGCTCTCTCCATCATGGCTAAAAGCCCTCAAGTTCAGGAGAAGCATACTTTTGAGAAGATAACCATGCATGCCTTGCAGAAAACAATGTGAGATCTTATGAGATGTATGTACTCAGGCACAAATAGTAGCAGAGCAATGATAAATAGGCCTCTTGGGAGCATGAGAATGGGGAGGGAAAGAGAAACACAGAGAGATGCTGTTACAATGAGGCAGTTTTTTGCCAGGGGAGGCGAGGTTTGCATCAGGGCTCTGAAACTGATAAGCCTACGGAGGGGCCCAGTGCCAGAAAGCCCCTTCCTCAGCTCCAGAATCTCCCCTTGGCAGGTTTACTCAGGTTTGGGTGCTAACTGGCATTCAGGCCTGATCATCACCACTTCACAAAGGTCTGGATCCTCCCAACAGCCCTGTTCCCATTTCACTGAGGGGGAAACTGAAGCACAGACAAAGTGACTTGTGCAAGATTGCACAAGGAATCAGTGCCGGAGGAGTGCAGTTCTCACCTGCTGCTGGCCTAACCTGTGGATCACCCGTCTCCCTCCTTAGAGAGACAGACCTGCTGCTGGGGCCCTACATAAGATCCTTGGGCCCTTTTTGCCTCTGGACTAAAACAAAGAAGTTAAAAAGATAAATGGGCCTGCGAGACCTTTTTCCCTGCAGTGAGCAGTGCCTGGCCAGGGGAACTCTGAGGCTGCTCTGAACTGTGCTGAGGACAAGCTCTCTGCGTTTCTTGGGGAGAGCAAAGGTGGCTTCATGCATTCCTGGGCTGAGCCCAGCTCAGCTGGACCCAAAGAGGAGGCCCGGTGTGTCTGCTCAGCTCCAGCACTGAGGAACGATTGAGATTCACCCAAACAACCCTGTAACTGCTAGTGCTGACAGTGCAAACCCAAACCCAAGAATCAACAAAACTTAAGCCAAAGCACCAGGCTGGTTTGTGAGGGGCCACAGCGCACACGCAAGCACACAGTAGCCTAGCTCCATGAGCAAGGGCATTCCCACAGCCACTAGCAACCCGCCACAATTTGCTCTGTGCTTTCCCCCAGGGGCCACTGAAGTTACCCCCCCCCCCCCAAAAAAAAACCC